TTGAGCTGTTACGTTTTTCTGTGTTGCAGCGGAGGTAGCAAGGCTCTTTGCGCCATATAACATTGGAGCCAGAAGGAATATGACGAGACGACCAGCACAAGTCCAAGTTAGCCGAAGAAGCTACACACACACTGTCTGTTGTTTGGCTGACCACAATGCGGATAAAATTCCAAGCGTACTGTTTAAAGCTGAACTTCTTACTTCAGGACTTGGAGAGCAAAAAGTAACATTTTCAGGTCAGTGCGAAACTAGGCATTTACCAAAAGTAAAAAAAGTTTGTACTGTCTGTGGCTTGTTGAAATTATTTGCATTTCTTTTTATAGTGACTCAAACTTAATTGGTGTTCATAGTGTCAATAATAGTTATCACAGGCTTATTTGCTTAATTTAAGGTGAGGTGAGTTATGATTTTGTTTTGTTTTTTTCTCCAGGGAATGACCACGATCCCATGGTTATAACAAATAAACTGATGGAAGTGTTTCCGAAGCTCCAACAAGGGGGAGGCTTTGAATTTCTAAAACTTGTAGGATCTACTCGCAGTCGAAATCTTGCGTTGCTTCAGTGTCCCAGCACTGGATACACCCTTGCCTATCTGAAAGATCCATCGACGATGATTGGACAGGCTACAATCTACATACGTCCACTTCAACAGGATCTACCCTTAGATTGTGTACATACATTTACAGAGACTTAGTTTAATACATAATCAAAACAAAGATTACTGGTGACTTTTAATCATTAATTAAAAGCCATTTGTTGTTGTTGTTAGGAGAGCTCACGTCCTGCCTCTGGTCCAGTCATCCCCTGCATCACTTGTCAGAAGGAAGTTCCCTTTTCAGAGATGAAGCTGCACAGATTGAGCTGCAATGGGTATGTACTTCTTAAAGCAATGCAAGGGTAGCATAATTTATTTTCTTTGGGAATATGTCTCTCTTATTGTTGTGCACACAAATAAGCGAGTATGACCATCATTTCAATTGTGTTAACTTCAAGGACACCCATGCAGGAATCAGAAAGAGAACAAGAGGGAGGCCAAAGTGAAGAAAATGATAGTGGAGACAGCCCTAGTCAGTGACAGTGTTCCAGTGAGGCCTGAAACATCAGCTGAGAGTGCAGTAGTACCGGCAGTGATTGTCAACGAGGAGTTGGATCGCAAAGAAACAGACAGTGGTTTGTGTCATCACAATAGTGTTGCTATAAGATTGTGTGTAACTGAAAAGTTAATAGAAAGATAACACCTGTAGGATATAATTAGATAAGATAATACAGTTACAGACAATTAATAACATGCAACTGGGTTTTTCTATTTTTCTAATATTTAGTTGTAGTTGTTTAGTAGTGCTGTTTTTATGTCAACTCAGCGTTGTGACAGGTTCTGAAGATGTTGGGTCTCACGTTTTGTCAGTGAAATGAACAGAATTTTCCTCCTGTTCTGTAGAGTGAGAGGATATCTGTATATGCAGGTAACATGCCAACTCACAATATGTCTCTCTGTAATAGATAACTTTATTGTTGTTGTTTGTTTAGAATGGAAGCTTATTAAAGAACCCACTCAAGCTGCCAAAGTTTTCAAAGAGAATCTGCTAAGGGAACATGCAACTGGGAAACCACTTAGAATGAAGATGGATGTAAGGGACTCTGAAGAGGACAGGGAACGGGAGCTTCTCTTATTATATAAACAGCAGCAGAATGGGCATGTCCACTTCATTGTACTCTGGTTGGTAAGTAATATAACATTTATAATATAAATACATCAGTACAGTTTATACCACTCAAGTAGCTTATATGGAATTGTTAAATGGGAGAATGGAATGCACAAAATTATATAATTGATAAAATGTTATATGTATGTATGTGAATATTGTGCACAATATACTCTTGTTATCTGGAATAATCAATATTAAGGATGCTATTCTAGAATTACAGCCAATAGAAGTTTTTCTCCCTTTCTTGTTAAATGTTACCAAATCCAGTTACCTGTATTAGGCCGCCACTTTTTTTCCAGTGTTATTATCAGTATTTTATTTCAGGTGATGTTGCTATCGGAGAGGGAGTGATGCGGTACTTTATGACAACAATCATATCCAAACTCCAGTTTGGATTCAGTCTAGATCTTGGTAAGTATCTTACTAATTTTTTGAAGGTTAATCCATCTATAAATTGCAGAAATGTCTGTCTGTAGCGCATGTCTCTCAGTTAGTCCGATGGATTTCAAACTTGACAGGTGTCTTGCTCTGGTCACGAGTAAGTGCAAGTGCCAAGTTTGACGACGTTTTGGATAAACGCAAAAGATAGCGTTACATATATAGGTAAAAGAAGCACACATTGGCTTTTGCCGCTCTTGCTGCTTGCCATTCTCACACTGCAATGCAACGCTGACTGAGCACCTGTTTGTGTCGTGACTCACTCTACACCGCCTCTCTCTATGCGCGCGCACACACACACACACACGCGTACACGTACGTTCTGGTGGTTGATGAACGTGGATATGTGCTGTTTAGCGGAGGGCCGGTGGGCAATGTTTTGTGTCAGGTAAGTCTGTAGTAGGGTATACAGGGGAATTGAATTTGAAGTGGTTTGGGGTCCTTCTGTAAGTCATTTTGGAGTAGGCTATGTCGTAGTAAATATTAAAATGTTATAGCTTGGTCTGACTAAAATCTTGTGCATGACCCATTTTAATGTTAGGAGCTTGTTTTCAATCAATGCTGTTCCTATGCAAGAACAATGGACAGAGCCAATATCTTCTCAAGGACAACTCCCACGCCACAGGCCACAATCTGGTTGCTCCCCACGAGACTTTCCTTTGAGAACATACAACATTCACACACACATCTCCATGCTACGCACACTCATCCTCATGCCTCACGAGTTACGCACACACACACACTGCACTTTTTTCTACTGGTCGGGTGCCTAGGGCAGAGGACTCTGCCGTGCACAAAATGGGGCTTCTACTCTGGACAGAGCAGACCCGCCTCCTACGCCTCCGGAACCAATCAAGGGACTAGAAGAAGGACCCCTTCCTTTGTGTTGCATTGTATAAAGTAATGCTGAAAACTCTGTTTTTGTCCCCTTTTCAACTGTCTCCATAAGAGGCAACTGAAATGGGTCCATGCATGTAGCTTGAGCAGATACCAGCTATCTCTGTGTTTAATAAACTGCCTTTTGCTTAAACATATTCCTCTCCGTCTAGCGTCGTTGGTTCTGTACTTCCTCTCCTGTATGGTTTCACCAACAGCTACAATTTGGTTTAAGTGAATTCTACAAGCAGCAATACCACAGGCCAAGTAATCGCCACTAGTATGATGTAATATATCTATCTATCTATCTATCTATCTATCTATCTATCATACATTTTTATTTAATGTATTTAAGAGGTTAATTGTTGTGACTTATTCCCTGCTCTCTTGGTACTTTACAGGAGGAATGGGCCGAACACTGCTATTTGAGGGTGAACCTGACCATCTTGTTCCAGCAGCATCAGAGGCACTTATTGAAAGCAACCTCTTCCGGGTTGCAGGAAGGATGTTGGGCCACACCTTTCTGCATGATGGTCCCCATGTCACAGGACTAAGTCCTGCTGTAATTCATGTACTGTTCAATGGGGACCCTGAAATGGCTACTGTTGTTACAGAAGACTGTCCTGATCTGCACATCAGGGCATCATAGAATGGTATGTAACCTAAAAGAAACTTGCCATGTAAAAAATATTGCTTGGGCAGATATAATAACTTGTATGGTCTTAATTCTAGCTTGAACATGAAGATCTTACACCGGAAACAGAAAGGACACAGTTTCAGATCTTTCCATGTCTTGGGATCTTCCGGCAGTCACCAAAACAAATCGGAGATGGCTACATAACAAACTTCTACTCCATGCAGTGAGTTCCTGCTGGTTAAGTGACAGAATTCATCGCTGTACTTGTTGAAATTATAGAATGTGTTGTGAACCCTGGCTTGTTATGTTAACACGAGAGTTTTAAGTACTAGAGTTTTAATGGATTTTTATAAAAGCACTTTATTGTGTTTATTAACATTTTTCCTACTGTGCCAACTTTTGTCAAATTGGGTTAAGGATTTGGGCTGTAATTGGGTCGGTCTGTCTCTTAGTCGTTTGGGAGGACCATGCCGCCAAATTAAACAGTTGAGAAGGGACTGAAAGATGTGATGGTATGGCCCCTGCTGACATCTAGGCCGGATGTTGTACCACTTCTTTTCCCAAAATGGCTGAAATGCAGTTCACACCCCAGGTAATCAGGTAATTTTAGTTATATTTGTGACTTAACTTGATGAATTTACGTGTATTTTCAATGACTGAGATGGATATTTTTCCATTTTCTAAGATTTGATCTGCATAGTCCTTCACCAAAATAAGTTCCTCCCTTTTTTTAAATTACAATTTTTGTTTTCTTTAAGATGCTCCTAGAAAAAATCACATGGCCAGTTGAGGACAGTGATGATGAAGACTTTGACTTAGACACCACCTGCCGCAATCACTGGCTTTCTAAGGATGTTCATTGAAACAGGTATAAACCTTATTTTCTCTCTTTACAAATGCTTCTATGTCTCATGGATAGATATGATCAATTACAGTTGAACTAAATGTCTTTAATCCATTTTATGACTTTTAGCTTCATCAGGTACCCTGGCCCAGCTGCTGACATTCTGGGTTGGCTGGGAGATGCTTCCTCCTGAACTGAGAGTGGAGATTTCTGGGGGAACCCTTTCCTACGTCCTCCACATGCTTTGAAAACCCTAAAGCTGCCAGCTCATTTCAAACTCTACATGGACTTTGAGAAAGCACTTGTCGCTGCCATAAAAAAGTACTGGATTTGGGCTTGTTTAAGTTTTTTCAGACGTCAATTAGGGCTGGGCAATATTTTAATATTATATCTATCGTGATATAAGACTAGATATCGTCTTAAGGTGCTTTTCCATTACCAGTACCTACTTGACTCGCCTCGCCTCGACTCGCTGTGCGTCCGTTTTCCCATTGCAGATTTTAGGATTGCCTCAGCGTGGCTGGGTCGTCATAGCGACTGCCGTGGGCGTGGCTTAGTAGCTTGCTTTCCCCATTGACAAATCCCCGCCGCATTTCCTGGTTCTCAGTCTCCGTGAACAACATGATATCAAAGAGATAGTTAACGTTAACTGCTCCAGATTTCCCACCGTGATCACATATATATGACTCTAGAGTCGCTACTCGCTTTGTTTCTCTCACATATATATGACTAGAGTCGCTACTCGCTGCGGAGATAATCGCCGTCACTCTCTCACTTCTCCCTCGCCTCACTAGCTACACACCACACACACACACACATATGGCGACTCGACACACACACATCACACATTACACACACCAGCGCACCAGTATAACCATCAGGCCACTTGTATGCTACGGAGAAAGCTCTGCGTGGAGCCTCCGGCAGTAAAAACCCACCGCCTGGCTAAACTATTTTAAAATGCTGTCTGTCGCTGGCAATGCAGTGATCAGTGACGATTCTTTCCGACCAATCAGCAGCCTGCAGGGTTTCACGTCACCTTCTCGGCTCGCCTCAGCTCGCTTGGAACCTCGACTGAGCAGGTGCTAAAAAAAGTATATGTTAGCAGGTACCAGGTACTTTTTTCGTAATGGAAAACCAAAAAAGGCGAGGCGAGGCGAGTAGGTACCATGTAATGGAAAAGCACCATTAGATTTTGAAGAAGTGTAATATCGTTACATGGTAAGTTTAGTCTTTTCCTGGTTTCAAAGGCTGCATTACAGTAAAGTGATGTCATTTCTGAACTTACCAGACTGTTCTAGCGGTTCTATTATTTGCCTTTTACCACTTAGTCATTATATCCACAATATGATAGTTATTTATCCGAAATCTAAATGTGGAAGATATTTTGTGAATGCACCAATTGTCAACCTTACAATATCGTTGCAATATCGACATCAAGGTGTTTTTCATCAGGTTGATTTTCTCCATATTGCCCAGCCCTAATGTCAATGCATACACAGTTCAGATGAATTGACACAAGTTCAGTGTCTTTGAAAACATTAACACACTGTGCAGTAGTTGACTTTTTTTTCTTCCATTTACTAAAATCAAAACTGTTCTGCACCTTCAGTGCTAACAGTACAGCATTCATGTTAGTCATTCTGTGGACCATAATGAGACAGGAAGCTTCAAAGAACAGCTTTTTTTCCTTTCTTTTAAAAGGAAAGTAAACTTTCAGTTTTTCCTTGCTTGTTCTAACACAACAAATAAAAACATGGGTTGGACATCAGTCTAAGATTCTTGATAACACTTCCACAGTCTCTACATATAGTCTAAGTGCATCAGTAACAGAAACTCCTGGAGCTGGCAAAATTGCAACCTCTTCATCTGAGAGCTCACGGGCCAGCTGAACCTCGGGGACTGACACAGTGCCTCGATGAAGGCAGTGAGGTCCGTTCCAATCGATCCCATATTCTTCAGGAACCTGAATGGATGACAAGCATAATCAGTCTTGTACTTAAAACTAGTTTGACATGTCCTTACACAAGATTGTTATTTTGGGTCACCAAGGCAGTGAGAAATGAATGTTACTTATTCAGTTTTTTAAAATAATACAGCTTTGCATAGTATGCACTGTAGAAAACTACAGCTCACAGGTTGATCTTTAAAAGCTCGGGAGATTTTAAAGAGACAATAATCTATAGTAAATGTTTCATTTAAAGCAGGGTTCTTCAATCCCGGTCCTGGAGGGCCGAAACACTTCTGTTTTTTATTTCTACCTGGTAGTTAATTGCACTCACCTGGTGTCCCAGGTCTGAATTAGCCCCTGATTAGAAGGAGAGGATGAAAAGCAGAGGTGTTTCGGCCCTCCAGGACCGGAATTGAAGAACCCTGATTTAAAGTATCACATTTAGCACCATTTTTTTCTCCCATAATTCCTTTGGGGAAACAATTTTAAGAAAGTGTTTAAAGTTCATTGTTAACCTCAGTAGGATCCTCCTCAGGGCCTTGCTCTCTGTAACTTCTCCAGAGTTGCTGTGGTGACTGATTCCTTTCAGTTCTAAGACCGTGGAAGTTCCAAGCATCTCGAAAAGAGTCGAGGCTTTGCTGAACCAGTGGAAGGAAAATCCGGTGCAGAGCGAAAAGATGGACTTCATTGTCTGGATTCAGTGTCTCCTGATCTTCCAATGAAGTAAAGATCTGATAGAAGAGGTCCAGGGCATGTTCATAAACATCTCTCCACATCCTCTCTATTCTGTGTTTAGGATAAAATTGAGAAATTGTTAATTTATGAACATATGCTAAAGTACATTCAACTAGTATGTTAGTTGTGTGAGCCTAGTTGCCAAACATATTTCTTTACCGCTGATTGTGGACACTTCTGCCTGTGATGTGTGAATTCCTGTCGGTACCTCTGCTTCTGATCATGAATTCTGCTACATCTGCATTCTCCCCCCCTTTGTCAGACCGTACCCTTGATGGCAGCCCATACTGCTCAACAGCGGCGATAAAGCTCTGTAAGACCGTATGAGCTCTATTATTGCCGGCCACAGTCAGGTAGACCACTAAACGACTGAATCCATCCCACCCCACCGTGGACAAACAAATCTCCACCTGTTGCAAACACATGAAAAAATATAACTTTATTGTATAACAATTGTAATGAAACATATAGAAAGATGCATTGTTTATCTGCTAATATCACTGACCTGATAAGCTTATGGTGGCCATCTATATGCCACAAAGAGTTTGGGCCAGGAACAAAATACTGGCCGTCACCTGAATACACGCAGCCTCAGAACGTCTCATGTAGGACTCCCTCTGCAATTGACTCTGCGTAAGACGTCTTGCAGCTTGAGACTGAGGGGAAGGGAATTTAAAATGAATAACCACAACACTCACTGGCTACTTTATTTTGAGGATATAGTGGGTGTCATAATAAAATAATAATGTTGTAAAACAGTCAACTATTACAGAACCACCACAGCTTCAAAAATGTACTTTACTGTCAGATATTGTACATATACATACATACTAGATATATATGTATATATCTGTATGTATGTATGTATGTATGTATATATATATATATATATATATATAAAATATATAATATATATATATACACATACACATATATATACACAGATATAAAAATTAGATATACATATATATATATATACACACATACATACATACAATACATATAACAATACATATATACATACATATATATATTCTATCTAATAATAATACTATACATACACTAAATATACATACATACATATATTTCATATATATGTATATATATCTCTTATATAATCATAGATATATATACATACACACATATATATACATAATATACCACATATACATATATATACACATATACATATATATACACACATATATAGATAGATAGATAGATAGATAGATAGATAGATAGATAGATAGATGATAGATACCACATGCTCGAAACAGAGATGACCTGAGATTTTTTGCCTCCTATGATATTTTGCTTTTCTATGATTATATTATACCCTTTACAGCAGGGGCACATCCGGACAGCTGAGAATATTACTGTCAGATATTGTTCCACCTCTATTAAACAGGAGGCTAAAAATCACAGGACATGTCTATCCTGATGATACAAGTCAGCCGTCCTGAAATGTGTGTTTTCTCTTCACATTTCTTCTACACATTCTACATCTCAGAGGCGATGTCTTTCCATAAGCGGGCTTCCTTCACCTTTCAAAGGGGCAGAGCTCCAAATTAAAAATACATTTAAATAATGCCCATATTATTATCTACTCACTTGGAACATGCACACCTCTTGCATTCAGGTGACCACGCATTAGCTTGTAGCCGGTGTTTGGATGACTTCTGTGAATTTCACTTACAATACGGTCTAACTCCTCATCATTCACAGCTGAATAGAGATCTGTCTTTCTGTACAAACAAGAAAAACACAACATCAAGTAATGTTACCTTAAACGTCATATTCTTTCCGAGTGTATGAGAGCAGCAATTCATAAACAGAAAACTCATGAATTTAGTGTAAATACCTTAAACTGTATTGTTGCATGCGCCTCCTGATGGTCCTCTTTGACACACCGAACATCGCTGCAATTTGAACTGCGGGAACTCCACAAAGAAGTTGATGCTCCAGAACTGCACTCGGTATGTCAAACGCCAAACGCCCCGGTCCCTGTGTGTGTTGGGCCTGAAGTGCCCTGGTACCAGAGAAGCGGTGGACAACTTCTTCTAGATTTGCAATCACTCTGTGGTCGATATCTTCGTCGGAAAGTGCGGAAATGACTCCAACAACTTCAATAAGTTCCTCTGCTTTACTAGCTACATGCTCTGGGTCAGCAGGTCCTGCTTCTACATCCTCTGCTAAGTTTAAAATGTCTCTAACCAACTCCCTGGAAAGTTCACGGAGATCCTCCATTGTCTCTATCCAGGTTGGCCTACTCTACTTCAGACCAAAGCAATGGATCAGACTAGATTCGCGTTAGCCCCGCCCACTGACTTTGATGGGTCAGTTTGACAGTTTTAAGTAATTCATGAATCACTGCAATGCAGGATCATGAAATGTAAATGTAAATAGTGAAATAATTATATATGTATTTTACATAAAATGAATCGGTATTTGAATTAATTAATGATACATTTAATTACACATTTATGTATTTAATTCTAATTTGAATTAATTAATGACACATTTAAGTAATTATTTAATGGTGTATTTATTTATTTAATTGTGGCACTTTTAGTCCTCCATAGTAACGTAACAAAATGTGGAAAAAGTCAAGGGGTCTGAAGAATTTCTGAATGCTCTGTAGATTTAACTAAACACGTTTCCATCCAACCATTTCATGCAGATGAATTACATGTCCTATGAAAAAAGTCACGACTGGGCTGATGGAAAAATTAAATACAATTTTATAAATGGTACAATTTTATAAATGCCTACAGACAATTTGGTAGTTCGACATGGTGGAATCTTATTGTGTCACTATAATTAATTATGCGAGAAATGGCGGTGGAAACGCCTTTATGCGCAAATATTGATATAATAACCTTCATATCGAAGTAAACTTGGGAGTCACGCGATGATATGTTGTGTGGTCCTCGCACTACGACTCGGGAAAGCATGCAGTTTATTAGGCTACAGATTAAATAAATCATGATGGACTTCACAGGGTGGTGAATGTGCATGGTGATGAGCTTGATGCTCTTTTCCAATAAATATCGAGGGTCTTATTCTGGTGACATGATGTTCGATGCTTGCCTGCCAATTGACAAATACAAACAATATCGGTTTTATCCATAATCTCATAATGTAGTTAGCCTACCCGCATTGGATCTGTGAGCTGTTGGCTAGAGCGCATGCGCTAAATAACGCAACAGTTTTTGTGACCGTGCACCACCAAACCATCAGTAGAGTTGAAAATGCAATGGAAACCTATTTAACTTATATTTTTCATTTGCTACATCAGAATTTAACAGTATAAGTTATTTTTATGTGCGCTATGTCATCACGCACAGCCTTCTATCTGCAAAAAGTCCGTTTTGGAAACCCATCTCTGGTGGGAAAATGCATAAATTGTTTCATGCAGATTTTAGAATATTCGCATGAAAATCTGTCACAAGATGGATGGAAACCTAGCTACTGAAAACAATAGTTTATTAATTATTTTCCAGTGTTTCACAGTTTTTCAGTGAGTGACAGATTTTTCATAAGTAGACCTAAACCATGGGTAGGCTATTTCAAAATTAATTTTAATTGCATATGGCTTTTGTTTTGTCTAAATAATACGAAATCAGGAATATGATCATGATAAACAGTTTCTCTAGATTTGTTAAAACCCCATTAGCAACTACAACCCCGGAAATCTCGCGAGATTGTTCGAGGGACTAAATTCAGGGAACATGGCGACGTCTAATTTGCTAAAGGTAAGATGCACCTCAATTCAATAATTTTGATTACATTTAATCAGTGTTTGTTGCATAGTCAAGGCTATATTACTGTACATTGTTAAGCGCACATACCTGAAGATGGTCTTGCAATATAGGAAGGTGATATGACGTCCTGTTGTTTGTCTTGCAAGCATTGAAAGGACTGTGCTATTTACTCCTCTCAGTCAATAGCGTTAGCCTGGTGCTAGCTAGCTGTGTCAGGCAGTAGCTAGTACACACAGACATAAGTTAGCTAGTTTAGCCAGTTAGCTAACTAACTAACTGGCTAAACTAGTACTGTCATTTGACTTGGCATGACTATCGTTGACTGAGTTGCTAGCTAACCTCAAGCACGATCGATTGTCTTTTCCATTAAAACACACGAACTAGCTTGCTAACAGTAGTTAGGCAGCCGGTATAACAATAGCTACATAACGTTAGATGGCTGGTTAGAAGATGCCCCAGTATCTGTGCTTTATGCCGCGTTCAGACAACTGGGAACTCGGAAAAAACGAGCTCCGACTGGGAAAAAGTTATTTGAAAGGTCATCCAACTCAGAATTCCAAGTCAGAAACTCTGAAGATCACTGACGTCTTGATTTGACCTTGTTTTTTCCCTAGTTCCCAGTCTTCTTGAAAACACCACAAGAGATGTCCACGATGAGTACGCCTATGATGTGTCTCCTCTCTAATGCCCAGGAAGCTCAGATTCAAACTCCCATTAGGGAAAGGGGGATACCTAGTCAGTTGCACAACTGAATGTATTCAACCGAAATGTGTCTTCCGCATTTAACCCAAACGCTTTGAATCAGATAGGTGCGAGGGGCTGCCTTAATCCAGGGCTTCCCAAACTTTTTCACTCAGGCTCCTGTTCCAGCATTGGGGAACACTCAAATTTGCAGTTTTAAAGCGGATTTTCTTGCAATTGTATACATTTAGCCTTGTCTAATGTTTATTAATGTGCTATTTGAGTGACTCGAACATTACTACAAAATCTATGGGCTAAAAAACATTAGCTGACATGGGCTAGTTGACCTGAACATGTTTTTAAAAAGGTGTCTGTATGCAAGTACTGGCATGACAAGAGAAAAACTGATGATGCACTGCCCAATTTCGAAATTGCACCTTGTGCATTCTACTATTACAACTTTCAAGAGTAAGTTGAAAGCCGGACAGAGTTCCCTAGGGGGCGCGCCCCACAGTTTGGGAACCACTGCCTTAATCGACGTCTACGTCATAGGCGCCCAGGGAGCAGTTGTTGGTGGAGGTTAACTGCCTTGCTCAAGGGCAGAAAGGCAGATATTTCCCCCTTGCCGGCTCAGGGATTTGAACCAGCGACCTTTTGGTTACTGGTCCAACGCTCTTAACCGCTATGCTACCTGCCACCCCAGACAGCTCTGCAAGCGTTATAATGTCAAAATAAGTTTGTTACTCACCAAATATGGGGTTTCGCTGAGCAACTATCTTCATTTACTCCTGTTACGGATGTTATGTACTTCCAAAAAATGGTCTAAATAAATTGTTTAAAGCAACCGAAAAAATGCCTCTTCGGCACCTCCAATGTATTGAGCTTTTGTAGACTTCCGACCTGTGCGCAGTAGTTAGGTTAGTGCTATTCGGACTCCTTGGAACGTCACTGACATTGGAGGTGCCGAATAGGCATTTTTTCAGTTGCTTGTAAAAAAACATTTATATCTTCTTATTTTTTTGAACATACCGGCCGTAACGTTAGCTCTACTGTCTGATAAAACACAAACTGCCTGGACTTTTTTACACTAAAGGTAGGCTAAAGCTAGTAGTTGCCAGCCACATGCAGATAGCCATCTAAGTTATTTAGTTAGTTAGCTAGCTAGCTAGCTAGCTAAAGTTGACTATTTATCACAATCAGGACACACTGGTTAAATCTCCTATTTCAGATTACATCCACATGCTCAACACTTTTTATTGGGCTGGCCAGCTATCTATGATGTGTGATACAATATGTTTGCATATAGGGTTGTTCCATTTGATTTACATAACTTTTTGATACACCATCCAAAGTGTAATTAATACCTTCACCATGCTCAAACGGATATTCCATTTTGTTATTATTACCCATCTACAAATAGGTGCTCTTCTTTGCAAGGCATTGGAAAATCTCCCTGGTCTTTGTGGTTGAATCTGTGTTTGAAATTCACTGCTCGACTGAGGGACCTTACAGATAATTAATTGTATGTGTGGGGTACAGCGATGAGGTAGTCATTCAAAAATCATGAGTCCATGCAACTTATTATGTGACTTGTAAAGCACATTTTTACTCCTGAATTTATTTAGGCTTGCCATAACAAAGGGGTTGAATACTTATTGACTCAAGACATTTCAGCTTTTCATTTAAAATTAATTTGTACAAATTTCAAAAACATAAATACACTTTGACATTATGGGGTATTGTGTGTAGGTGACACAATCTCAATTTAATCAATTTTAAACTAAGGCTGTAACATAACAACATTTGAAAGTCAAGGGGTGTGAATACTTTCTGAAGGCACTGTATGTGAAAATAAGAGTTTACGCATTTTAAGATAAAAAACAAAAAAAAACATTGTAAAGTGGTGATCCCACTGGCTATAAGGTGAATGCACCTATTTGTAAGTCGCTCTGGATAAGAGCGTCTGCTAAATGACGTAAATGTAAATTTATAATTTACATTAAAGGTTTAAAAAAAAATTAAACATTATTTTAATTTAAGAAATCATAAAATAGTTTGACAACCCTGACTGTAAGCTTTTAAAGGATTTCAAACTAAACCATTATTATTTTCCAGTGATAAAGATGTGGATGTCTCATGGTATGGTGGAGTATGCAAAATGGGTCAACTTTGAGCACCTCTATCTCCTGAATGTTTTGGCATTCAGGTCCATGGGCAAATATGTATGGAAAGTTTTGTTCAAATCAAAAGGGGTGTGACCAGAAAGTGATTGAAATCAATTGGAAAGACCCTATAGCTAGTCATGTCTGTATACTCACTGCATTGTTATTGTATCACTACACATTACACTCCCTCACAGGTAAGCTAGCTGGCTATAGTTATGGGTCTAAAAACAGATGCTACAGAATGGAAGCACCTGGGTTGTTGTCATGGTCAGAAACTCTCCAGCATAAGCAAGTCTGTTAGCCACTAATGGGCCTCAAATTAACCACCACCAGGCTTGTTTACTGCTCTTGTGTTCCTGCTAATGTTCAAATAGGCCTACTGCCTAGTTCCTAAACATTCAGCAATCACTGGGATGAATCTCAATTGTATATCCTTGATTTCTCATGTCCTCCCTTCTCGTCTCCTTCTCAAAGCACATTGGAGCAGAAGATCTGAGGTTCCTCCCCTCTCCTAAAATGTGTTTTGAGAAGGCAGCAAAGGAGAGGATGCGAGGAATCAAGTGAATACAATTGAGGTTCACCCCTGGTGTTGTCATAACTGCTATAGCCAGAGGTGACACTTCTACCCTTCCCATTCTCACCCAGAACAAAGGCTCCCTCCAGTTCGAGGACAAGTGGGACTTGATGCGTCCCATCGTCCTGAAGCTGCTCCGCCAAGAGTCAGTCACCAAACAGCAGTGGTTCGACCTCTTCTCGTGAGTATGGCCACTCGTCCATGTGCTCTCAGTCATACCAAGGTTTTATTCATTAGTGCACACAAATTGAAAACAAGTGTTTCTTATTAGACAAGTCAAGGCAGTCCCTCCCTGTTTCGGCCTGTTCCGTTTGGTTCTTAGTGAATACGATCTAAGAGCCTGTTGCAGAACGTTCAGATATAAATGTATGGTGTAGAACAGATTTCCTGACTGTCATATAGATTAGGGAATCATGGTGTCTGCAACATTCAGAACATTTTGCATGACTTGAAAAGGCTGTCATTCTGTTTCACAGACATTTCACATTAACTCCTGTCTGAGCTGTTAAAGACCAACAAATGGATTAATTGATTGATCTCCTCCAATCCCCTCATCTGATGTCTTGGTTTCCATAGAGACGTCCATGCAGTATGCCTATGGGATGACAAGGGGCCGGCCAAGATCCACCAGGCCCTGAAAGAGGACATCCTAGACTTCATCAAGCAAGCACAAGCGGTATGTAGGCCTGCTAAGTCTCGCTAGCATTGAAATGACTGTGCCATTTATTCCCTCACTGAGTACCACTAAAGGCATCCGCACTCTTCCCAGCCGAAACAGTTCGGTAGAGTTCGTACATATATCATGACAACATTTTGTGACGTTTTGGACTTCGGTGAGGGTTTTTTCGGCTGTTCAGGCACGCAACATTTTTCCTGGAGGCAAGCCGAAGTTCGGAGCCGAAGGCTACGCCCCTTCGTCGGTGATTGGTCAACAGTAGGGATTCTTCAATAAAGTCTTTGTCATCGAACAAGAGACGACTCGTTTTCAGGCACATTTTTTCATTGAAAAATACTGCACCAAACATCTTAGTTAGATGTAAAATTGCGTGACTAAGATCTCCTTGGCAAAAACATCAAAATTAATGACAGATTTATTGAGTTATCTTAGATTCATTCTATTTTGAGGAAGCATATACTGGCAACGTCGTCTCAAAATGGACAAACGGTACTATTGCGCTTTTTTCTCATTTTTCAAGGGAAGGTCTTTTTAAGGGAGTATGCGAGGACACTTTTTTGGGTTGCCTAGCCAACTTCGGCTAGCCGCCAGCCGAACTGAAGCATGCTGACACCTTAACGCTAGCTTGGAAGCAAGCTAGCTGTGCCAGTAGGCAACTGAGGAACCAAGCACTCTACTAGCCTATCCCTGACAACCAATATTTTCAACACCATAATGTCCATAACACCGCACTCAGCTGTTCTCTCCCCCTGCAACATGTTGAGTAACCAAGCAGACTGTCTATTACCCTCAACGCCATAAAGTCCATGACAGTGCCTTGCTCTCTCCCCCACAGCGGGTGTTGAGCCACCAGGACGACACGGCGCTGCTGAAGGCCTACATCGTGGAGTGGAGGAAGTTCTTCACGCAGTGCGACATCCTGCCCAAACCCTTCTGCCAGCTGGAGATCACACTCATGGGCAAACAGGGCAGCAACAAGAAGTCTAACGTAGAGGACAGCATCGTACGGAAGGTGAGGAGAGAAGAAAGGAGGAGGGGGGGTGTTGAGAGGTGCAGCAGCAGTATTTGTTTGTATTTGCATTGATATAAGAGAATTTCCGGTTGACATGAGGAAATTATGCCACCTGTAAATTCAGTCTGTCCCTGCTCATGTATCCATGTATCTACTTTCATTGTCCCTTCTGCTACCTTGTGGCTGTGGGCTGGCAAGGGGCATAGAAGGTAGCATCCGGAGGGTTGTCAGTTAAAATCCCGAGATTGAGAGGGACAATATGTCGGGGTGTCAGCTGGCAACCGGAGGGTTGCTGTTGTGAAATCCATGCCATCTCCTGTCGTTGTGCCCTTGTGCAAGGCACTAGATATAGCAAAAATACAAATGGAAACGCAACATGTAAAGTGTTGATCCAATGTTTCATGAGCTGAAATAAAATATCCCAATGTAGAAAATAGTAAAAATAAAGAAAAACCCTTGAATGAGTAGGTGTGTCCAAAAGTTTTTGGTACTGTGTGTACATACAGTTGAAGTCGGAACTTTACATACACTTAGGTTGGAGTCATTAAAACTCGTTTTTCTACCACTCCACAAATGTCTTGTTAACAAACTATAGTTTTGGCAAGTCGGTTAGGACATCTACTTTGTGCATGACACAATTAATTTTTACAACAATTGTTTACAGACAGATTATTTCACTTATAATTCACTGTATCACAATTCCAGTGGGTCAGAAGTTTACATACACTAAGTTGACTGTGCCTTTAAATAGCTTGGAAAATTCCAGAAAATGTCATGGCTTTAGAAGCTTCTGATAGGCTAATTGACATCATTTGAGTCAATTGGAGGTGTACCTGTGGATGTATTTCAAGGCCTACTTTCAAACTCAGTGCCTCTTTGCTTGACATCATGGGAAAATCAAAATAAATCAGCCAAGACCTCAGAAGAAAAATTGTAGACCTCCACAAGTCTGGTTCATCCTTGGGAGCAATTTCCAAACGCCTGAAGGTACCACGTTCATCTGTACAAACAATAGTACGCAAGTATAAACACCATGGGACCACGCAGCCGTCATACCGCTCAGGAAGGAGACGCATTCTTTCTCCTAGAGATGAACGTACTTTGGTGCGAAAAGTGCAAATCAATCCCAGAACAACAGCAAAGGACCTTGTGAAGATGCTGGAGGAAACAGGTACAAAAGTATCTATATCCACAGTAAAATTAGTCCTATATCGACATAACCTGAAAGGCCGCTCAGCAAGGAAGAAGCCACTGCTCCAAAACAGCCATAAAAAAGCCAGACTACAGTTTGCAACTGCACATGGGGACAAAGATCGTACTTTTTGGAGAAATGTCCTCTGGTCTGATGAAACAAAAATAGAACTGTTTGGCCATAATGACCGTTGTTATGTTTGGAGGAAAAAGGGGGTTGCTTGCAAGCCGAAGAACACCATCCCAACCGTGAAGCACGGGGGTGGCAGCATCATGCTGTGGGGGTGCTTTGCTGCAGGAGGGACTGGTGCACTTCACAAAATAGATTGCATCATGAGGAAGGAAAATTATGTGGATATATATATATATATATCTCAAGACATCAGTCAGGAAGTTAAAGCTTGGTCACAAATGGGTCTTCCAAATGGACAATGACCCCAAGCATACTTCCAAAGTTGTGGCAAAATGGCTTAAGGACAACAAAGTCAAGGTATTGGAGTGGCCATCACAAAGCCCTGAACTCAATCCTATAGAAAATTTGTGGACAGAACTGAAAAAGCGTGTGCGAGCAAGGAGGCCTACAAACCTGACTCAGTTACACCAGCTCTGTCAGGAGGAATGGGCCAAAATTCACCCAACTTATTGTGGGAAGCTTGTGGAAGGCTACCCGAAACGTTTGACCCAAGTTAAACAATTTAAAGGCAATGCTACCAAATACTAATTGGGTGTATGTAAACTTCTGACCCACTGGGAATGTGATGAAAGAAATAAAAGCTGAAATAAATAGTTCTCTCTACAATTATTCTGACATTTCACATTCTTAAAATAAAGTGGTGATCCTAACTGACCTAAGACAGGGAATATTTACTTAAATGTCAGGAATTGTGAAAAAACTGAGTTAAAATGTATTTGGCTAAGGTGTATGTAAACTTCCGACTTCAACTGTACATAAATTCAGCAAAAAAAGAAACGTCCTCTCACTGTCAACTGCGTTTATTTTCAGCAAACTTAACATGTGTAAATATTTGTATGAACATAGCAAGATTCAACAACTGAGGCATAAACAGAACAAGTTCCACAGACATGTGACTAACAGAAATTGAATAATGTGTCCCTGAACAAAGAGGGGGGGGTCAAAATCAAAAGTAACAGCCAATATCTGGTGTGGCCACCAGCTGCATTAAGTACTGCAGTGCGTCTCCTCCTCATGGACTGCACCAGATTTGCCTGTTCTTGCTGTGAGATGTTAGCCACTTTTCCACCAAGGCACCTGCAAGTTCCCGGACATTTCTAGGGGGAATGGCCCTAGCCCTCACCCTCCGATCCAACAGGTCCCAGACGTGCTCAATGGGATTGAGATCCAGGCTCTTCGCTGGCCATGGCAGAACACTGACATTCCTGTCTTGCAGGAAATCACGCACAGAACGAGCAATATGGCTGGTGGCATTGTCATGCTGGAGGGTCATGTCAGGATGAGCCTGCAGGAAGGGTACCACATGAGGGAGGAGGATGTCTTCCCTGTAACGCACAGCGTTGAGATTGCCTGCGATGACAACAAGCTCAGTCCGATGATGCTGTGACACACCGCACCAGACCATGACAGACCCTCCACCTCCAAATCGATCCCACTCCAGAGTACAGGCTCGGTGTAACGCTCATTCCTTCGACGATAAACGCAAATCCGACCTTCATCCCATGTGAGACAAAACCGTGACTCGTCAGTGAATAGCACTTTTTGCCAGTCCTGTCTGGTCCAGCGACAGTGGGTTTGTGCCCATAGGCGAAGTTGTTGTCGGTGATGTCTGGTGAGAACCTGCCTTACAACAGGCCTACAAGCCCTTAGTCCAGCCTCTCTCAGCCTATTGCAGACAGTCTGAGCACTGGTGGAGGGATTGTGCGTTCCTGGTGTAACTCGGGCAGTTGTTGTAGCCATCCTGTACCTGTCCCGCAGGTGTGATGTTCGGATGTACCAATCCTGTGCAGGTGTTGTTACACGTGGTCTGCCACTGCGAGGACAATCAGCTGTCCATCCTGTCTCTCTGTAGCGCTGTCTTAGGTGTCTCACGGTACGGACATTGCAATTTATTGCCCTGGCCACATCCTTGCAGCATGCCTAAGGCACGTTCACGCAGATGAGCAGGGACCCTGGGCATCTTTCTTTTGGAGTCAGTAGAAAGGCCTCTTTAGTGTCCTAAGTTTTCATAACTGTGACCTTAATTGCCTACCGTCTGTAAGCTGTTAGTGTCTTAACGATCGTTCCACAGGTGCATGTTCATTAATTGTTTATGGTTCATTGAACAAGCATGGGAAACAGTGTTTAAAGCCTTTACAATGAAAATCTGTAAAGTTATTTGGATTTTTACGAAATGTTCTTTTTTTGCTGAGTTTATACATACATACATACATACATACATACATACAGTGCATTCGGAAAGTATTCAGACCCATTCACTTTTTCAAAAAAAAATTACGTTACAGCCTTATTCTAAAATCGATTAAAATGTTTTTTTCCCTCATCAATCTACACACAATACCCCATAATGACAAAGCAAAAACAGGTTTTTAGACATTAAAAACCCCCTGAAATAACATTTACATAAGTATTCAGACCCTTTACTCAGTACTTTGTTGAAGCACTTTGGCAGTGATTACAGCCTTGAGTATTCTTGGGTATGACTCTACAAGCTTGGCAAACCTGTATTTGGAGTTTCTCCCATTCTTCTCTGCAGACCCTCTTAAGCTCTGTCAGGTTGGATGGGGAGCGTCACTGCACAGCTATTTTCAGATCTCTCCAGAGATGTTCGATCGGGTTCAAGTCCGGGCTCTGGCTGGGCCACTTAAGGACAATTAGAGACTTGTCCCTAAGCCACTCCTGCGTTGTCTTGGCTGTGTGCTTATGGTCGTTGTCCTGTAGGAAGATGAATCTTCACCCCAGTCTTAGGTACTGAGCACTCTGGAGCAGGTTTTCATCAAGGATGTCTCTGTAGTTTGCTCCGTTCATCTTTCCCTCGATCCTGAGTAGTCTCCCAGTCCCTTCCGCTGAAAACATCCCCACAGCATGCTGCCACCACCGTGCTTCACCGTAGGGATGGTGCCAGGTTTCCTCCAGACGTGACGCTTGGCATTCAGGCCAAAGAGTTCAATCTTGGTTTTATCAGACCAGAGAATCTTGTTTCTCATGGTCTGAGAGTCCTTTAGGTGCCTTTTGGCAAACTCCAAGCAGGCTGTCATGTGCCTTCTACTGAGGAGTGACTTCCGTCTGGCCACTCTACCATAGAGGCCTGTTTGGTGGAGTGCTTCAGAGATGGTTGTCCTTCTGGAAGGTTCTCCCATCTCCACAGAGGAGCTCTCTGAGTGACCACCAGGTTCTTGGTCACCTCCCTGACCAAGGCCCTTCTCCCCGATTGCTCAGTTTGGCCGGGCGGCTAGCTCTAGGAAGAGTCTTGGTGGTTCCTAACTTCTTCCATTTAGGAATGATGGAGGCCACTGTGTTCTTGTGAACCTTCAATGCTGCAGATATTTTTTGGTACCCTCCCCCAGATCTGTGCCTCGACATAATCCTGTCTCGGAGCTCTACGGACAATTCCTTCGACCTCATGGCCTGGTTTTTGCTTTGACATGCACTGTCAACTGTGGGACCTTATATAGACAGGTGTGTGCCTTTCCAAATCTTGTCCAATCGATTGAATTTACCACAGGTGAACCCCAATCAAGTTGTAGAAACATCTCAAGGATGATCAATGGAAACAGGATGCACCAGAGCTCAATTTAGAGTCTCATAAATATCTAAACCTGTTTTCACTGTGTCATTATGGGGTATTTTGTGTAGATTGATGAGGAAATATTTTATTTAATCCATTTTAGAATAAGGCTGTAACAACAACAACATTTGGAAAAAGTCAAGGGGTCTGAATACTTTCGAATGCACTGTACATGCACACATCTACGCTGAACAAAAATATAAACGCAACATACAACTATTTCTACGATTTTTATCAGGCAATTGAAATAATAAAGCCATGGTCTAATCGTCATCTTCTGTGTCTTCAGCTCATGCTGGACACGTGGAACGAGTCCATCTTCTCCAACATCAAGAACAGGCTGCAGGACAGCGCCATGAAGCTGGTGCACGCCGAGCGCCTGGGGGAGGCCTTCGACTCTCAGCTGGTCATTGGCGTCAGGGAGTCCTACGGTGAGCAAAACAATACTGTCTCCTTAAGCTGGGAGAGAATGGTGCCTAATGAACACGACTGTGGTGTATGCAGACAATACCATTGGATGATTCACCGAATCTCTGTGCCAAATTGGGAAGATACTTAATGTAGATTTTGGTGTGAAGCCCGCAATGACATTGATGCAGGATGTACGTGAAAATGTTAGCTACTACGAGTTAGGATTTAGCTATGTAGTGTGAACGAGAGAAATTAACTCTTAACCCCACACCACAAAGATGCCTATAATCCTCCTGGGTAGTGTTCATAACACACCAAATGGAAGAAAACGTACTGAAACCGGAAAGGACTAATTGGACTCATCCAATAAGAAATGCACATTTCCGTTTCCTGTTGCAAAACGTTATAAAACGTTGCGTGCTAATATACTTGGCCCCTGGGGACCTCCTTCCCTGTCTTCCCTCTGCAGTGAACCTGTGCTCAAACCCGGACGACAAGTTGCAGATTTACAGAGATAACTTTGAGAAGGCCTACATGGACTCCACCGAGAGGTTCTACAGAACACAGGCCCCCTCCTACCTGCAGCAGAATGGAGTCCAGAACTACATGAAATACGTGAGTAGTACCAGGATTAGGGTTGTACAACTCCTGTAACTTTTCCAACCTTCTCAGATGTTTTTCCAGAAATTCTGGTCCCTAAAAAAGGACCCTCTGTCTCCATGACAGCCACTCTCCTCTGTTATCATACATCACATGACGAGTTATAAGTTGAATTCCAAATGGACGAACCTAGTCCATACCCCTCAGGTGCTCATGCAGATTTGAAATGATTGCATAGGTGTAAGCCATATGGCGCAAATCCCGAACAGCCAATTGGAAGGCAATTTGAAGCAATGACTACACTGCTTAAACCTATCCACTCCTTTCAGATCTACAGGAGTGCCTCAGGTTTGTTTTGGAATTCAGTGATGACAGCGGTCAAAACAAATAAAAAATGATCTGAATGAGACATACTGTTTCTTTGTGATTTCTCAGTAGGCTGTAAAATTCTGGTAACATTCCCTAAATCCCAGGTTTTCCAGAAATCCCGGATGGAAAAAATAAGCAGGGAATCCTCCTCCTGGGATTTCTGGAAAACCTGAGAATTTGGGGAAAGTTACCAGAATTTTGCAAACCTATTTCTCAGAAACTTGCTCCAGGGCCTAGACTGTGTCTGTCTGTAAGCTAGGCTATCCATCTGAGGTGAAACCAACTTGTGTGTGTGTGTTCTAACAGGCAGACGCCAAGTTGAGAGAGGAGGAGAAACGGGCGCTGCGCTACTTGGAGACGAGACGGGAATGTAACTCTGTACAAGCAGTGAGTATATTATATCCCCACCACTTCTGTGTGACTACTATGGGCTGTAGTATTGTCTGTATATAAAGTGGGGGAGCCCTCGCATTCAGAGCAGGGCCATGTTCATTAGAACACAACACTTTTGAAACGAAGGAGGTGCTACTGTAACAATTTCACTGTTTCCGTTTCAAACGTTTTTACTGATTTTTATAACAAAACAAAAATACCTCAACCACCAAGGCGCACGGTCAGCAAGACACGCTGTCAAATGAAAACGTCAGTAGTCTAAACATTACTATAAGCGCCAAGTGTGCTTCATAAATTGTGAAAATTAGCACAAAAGCAATAATGGCATTAAAATGAATGTGTCGATATGACAGCAGTCCAAAATAGTAAATTAGTGTCAGCTCGTGCTTACATGGTGTGTGTCTTCACACAATGGCATCAGTTGGAGCATGTCCATGTCACATAAACAACGAAAGCTGGTAAGTGTGTTGCTGCTGATGTTTTTTGCTTGAGATGTAGGGTCTGCTTTCTGTGATGACATTTTGTGCTGATAATCGGCCTGTAGCATTGTCACCGGCTTGTTCTATCCAACGGTGCCTCCTTTCCTGTCTCACCATTTTCATTTGGTGGTGGCGCAGGCACCTGCTCAGGGCGCACATTTCTGTGGGGTTTTGCGCTTAGGCCTCAGAGGTGTAGGTTCAATAATCTACACACAATACCCCATAATGACAAAGTGAAAACAGGTTTTTAGAAATTGTTGCAAATTTATACAAATAAACCCTGAAATATCACATTTATATAAGTATTCAGACCCTTTGCTATGAGACTCGAAATTGAGCTCAGGTGCATTCTGTTTCCATTGATCATCCTTGAGATGTTTCTACAACTTGATTGGAGTCCACCTGTGGTAAATTCAATTGATTGGACATGATTTGGAAAGGCACACACCTGCCTATATAAGGTCCCACAGTTGACAGTGCATGTCAGAACAAAAACCAAGCCATGAGGTCGAAGGAATTGTCCGTAGAGCTCTGAGACAGGATTGTGTCGAGGCACAGATCTGGGGAAGGGTACCAAAACATATCTGCAGCATTGAAGGTCCCCAAGAACACAGTGGCCTTCATCATTCTTAAATGGAAAATGTTTGGAACCACCAAGACTCTTCCTAGAGCTGGCCGTCCGGCCAAACTGATCAATCGGGGGAGAAGGGCCTTGGTCACTCTGACAGAGCTCCAGAGTTCCTCTGTGGAGATGGGTAAATCTTCCAGAAGGACAACCATCTCTGCAGCACTCCACCAATCAGGTCTTTATGGTAGAGGTGCCAGATGGAAGCCACTCCTCAGTAAAAGGCACATGACAGCCCACTTGGAGTTTGCTAAAAGGCACCTAAAGGACTCAGACCATGAGAAACAAGATTCTCTGGTCTGAAGAAACCAATATTGAACACTTTGGCCTGAATGGCAAGCATCACGTCTGGAGGAAACCTGGCACCATCAATTTTTCAGCGGCAGGGACTGGGAGACTAGTCAGGATCGAGGGAAAGATGAACGGAGCAAACTACAGCGATATCCTTGATGGAAACCTGCTCCAGAGCGCTCACCTTCCACACAGACAAGACAACGCAAGTGTGGCTTCAAGGCAAGTCTCTGAATGTCCTTGAATGGCCCAGCCAGAGCCCGGACTTGTACCCGATCGAACATCTCTGGAGAGACCTGAAAATAGCTGTTTAGCGATGCTCCCCATCCAACCTGACAGAGCTTGAGAGGATCTGCAGAGAAGAATGGGAGGACCTCCCCAAATACAGGTGTGCCAAGCTTGTAGCGTCATACCCAAGAAGAATCGAGGCTGTAATTGCTTTCGAAGGTTCTTCAACAAAGTACTGTAAAGGGTCTGAATACTTATGTAAATGTATTATTATTATTTTTAATAAATGTGCAAAAATGTCTAAACCTGTTTTTTCTTTTGTCATCATTGGGTATTGTGTGTAGATTGAGATTGTAAAATGTTTTTCATTTTAGAATAAGGCAACAAAATGTTGAAAAAGTCAAGGCGTCTGAATACTTTCCGAATGCACTGTATATCTTCCCCACCACGAGTCGTTTTCATTCAGATTTTGTAGCAACGCTAACGCAGCATGTGCATCCATTCGTCTTGGTCTTCTTGTCATTGTAAATTACGCACTCTCACTATGTACTCTAAGTAGGCTAGAGTAGACTGATAAGACTGCTTGGATTCAGTGGACTGATATAGGGTATAGACCATTTTGGGATTATAATTAGAATATACCAATACAATAGAATGGCCCGCCCTGTTCTTCATTCGAAATTGGCAATTTATATATTCATGCATCGTTCGCTTCCCCTCTCTCATCAACTCACCATTACAAAAATTGACATTCCTTCCTAAAACTTGTTATAATTCCAGTTCTGTTTGTAATATTAAGATTCTAACAACGACAGTGTTATTTAGGAAAAGTCAAGAAGGGAGGAGGGCATGGCTTTAAAAATGGCGGAGTAATTTTTTATTCCTTGTGTTAACCCACTTTGTGGCAAATGCTGATATAAAAAGTTAGTTATAATAAATTAGATTTGTTTATTTATTATTTGTGATATGAGCGACCCACGGTTTTCTGTTCCCCCCCTCAGCTGATGGAGTGTTGCGTGAACGCCCTGGTGACGTCCTTCAAGGAGACCATCTTGGCCGAGTGTCCAGGCATGATCAAGCGAAATGAGACAGAGAGTGAGTACGGACGGAGCGCTCCTGGCACCAAAGGCTCGGCCAGCTCAGGTTTGCAAACCAGGAAATGACCTTGCCGTCCTCCACTCCACTTCCTGTTTCAATTTGTCCACGTCCACCAACCAACCGCTGTCTTTGCCCATTCCGTGTGTGTCAGTCAACATGTTGTCAACAACATTACCCCCCCAAACATCAGTGTCTGACCACAAACCCACCTTGTATTGTGTGTGTCCTTATAGTTGTAACCGGTAGTCTACCTGCGTGTGTGTCAGTATTAACCAATGTGTCTTTGTAGAACGTCTCAGTTTATGGTGTGTAGCAGTAAGATCTAAAAATTGCTTCCTAACCCTGGCAGTATACCACCACTGTGATGTTTAGAACTTCTAGGGCTGATTTCCAGGACACTGATTTAAGCCTAGTCCTAGACTAAAAAGCATTTTCAATGGAGAATCAATCAATGGAAACCAACCCCTAAAGATGGGGTATTTAAATCCGGGCCCCAAACACTGCTGCATACCCCTTGTTCTATCTATACTATAATCTACAAGTAGAAAATGACACTGAACAAAAATATAAATGCAACATCAACAATTTCAAAGATTGTACTGAGTTACAGTTCATACAAGGAATTCAGTCAATTGACATGAATCCATTAGGCCCTAATGACTGGGAATACAGATATGCAGGGGTGTGGATTAGAAAACCAGTCAGTATCTGGTGTGACCACCATTTGCCTCATGCAGCGCGACACATCTCCTTCGCATAGAATTGATCTGGCTGTTGATTGTGGCCTGTGGAATGTTGTCTCCTCTTCAATGGCTGTGCGAAGTTGCTGGATATTGGCGGGAACTGGAACACGCTGTCATTCACGTCGATCCAGAGGATCACAAACATGCTCAATGGGTGACATGTCTGGTGAGTTTGCAGGCTGTGGAAGAACTGGGCCATTTTCAGCTTCCAGGAATTGTGTACAGATCCTTGCGACATGGGGCCGTACATTATCATGCTGAAACGAGGTGATGGCAGCGGATAAATGGTACGACAATGGGCCTCAGGATCTCGTCACCATATCTCTGTGCATTCAAATTGCCATCGGTAAAGTGCAATTGTGTTAATTGTCCGTAGCTTATGCCTGTCCATACCATAACTCCACAGCCACCGTGGGGCACTCTGTTCACAACGTTGACATCAGCAAACCGATCGCCCACACGACGCCATCTGCCCGGTACAGTTGAAACTGGGATTCATCCGTGAAGAGCACACTGCTCTAGCGTGCCAGTGGCCATCGAAGGTGAGCATTTGCCCACTGAAGTCGGTTACAACGCCGAACTGCAGTCCGGTCAAGACCCTAGTGAGGACGACGAGCACGCAGATGAGCTTACCTGAGACGTTTGCTGACAGTTTGTGCAGAAATTCTTCGATTGTGCAAATGCACAGTTTCATCAGCTGTCCGGGTGGCTGGTCCTTTTATTGTCCCCAGCACAAGGTGCACCTGTGTAATGATCATGCTGTTTAATCAGATTCTTTATATGCCACACCTCTCAGGTGGATAGATTATCTTGGCAAAGGAGCAATGTTCAGTAACAGGGATGTAAACAAATGTGTGCACAAAATTTGAGAGAAATATGCTTTTTGTGTGGATGGAAAATTTCGGGGATCTTTTCTTTCAGCTCATGAAACATGGGACCAACACTTTACATGTTGCGTTTATATTTTTGTTCAATGTAGAATCTATAGACTATAGCCTTAGTAACTTACTATGGACAGTGTTTGACTGTAGTTCTCCCCCTCCTAGAGCTCCACCTCATGTTCTCTCTGATGGACAAGGTGCCCAGTGGCATCGAACCCATGCTGAAGGACCTAGAGAACCACATAATGTCTGCTGGGCTGGCCGACATGATGGCCTCCGCCGAGACCATCACCTCGGTGAGTGCTACACAAACACACACACACACACACACACACACACACACACACACACACATATATACATACATACGTTTCTCACACACGTACACTCATGCTCACACACACATATACTGTCATGCTCACACACACACTTGCAACTTCCCCACATACAGTGCATTCGGAAAGTATTCAGACCCCTTGACTTTTCCACATTTTGTTACGTTACAGCCTTATTCTAAAATGGATGAAATTGTTTTCCCCCCTCATCAATCTACACACAATACCCCATAATGACAAAGCGAAAACAGTTTTTTTGAACTTTTTGCTAATTTATTAAAAATACAAAACTGAAATATCACATTTACATAAGTATTCAGACCCTTTACTCAGTACTTTGTTGAAGAAACTTTGGCAGTGATTACAGCCTCGAGTCTTCTTGGGTATGACGCTACAAGCTTGGCACACCTGTTTTTAGGGAGTTTCTCCCATTCTTCTCTGCAGATCCTGTCAAGCTCTGTCAGGTTGGATGGGGAGCGTCACTGCCAGGGGCGGTGTGTTCAATAGGGCGATATGGGCGACGCACTGCCAAACGGGAAAAGGAAGGGATTTTTTTTCTAATCAATTATATCACGGCAACAGTAGTTATCAGTGTTGTAATCTAGACGTCTGATCTGCCACAGTGCCACACTGCCACTAAATGTCCAATCAGGCTAAAGTCGTGCTTCAAATGGCCCCCCCCCCCTTTTGGGGCGATTTCAGTCAGGTTGAAAATCGCCCAGAAGTCTGTCATAGACTCCCATGTAAAATCTATTTTTTTCAAATTTCAGAGCTTTCAATACAATCTCTATGGGTGTCTGAGGGCTTGCACTTACGCGCTTTCGTCATACGTAACATAACCATGAACGTAACTAAGAAAAGAGCGGGTAGCAGCGTCTCTGTTGCGACCTGCAGTGTGTGTGACGTTTGGTGTGGCGTTATCTTATGTTTTTAATCTTATGTTTTTAATTTGTACACTTAGTTTACAAACATTCTGCCAACCATGGATTTCCAGTGGTGGGGTCACGGTGTTGGACTGATCTTGTTGATCGTGTACATACCCGCTACGAACGGACTAAATAATGAAAACGCTGCTGGCAGCGGAATCCAATACAGCAGGGAGTTTTTACTACAATGCAACTCAAATACGAACGCGATGGATATCCCAATGGCCCATCTAATACCTGATTGTCTGCGAGTGGATTACAAACCCAAATGCAAACGTGGAAAACGCGGGGGAATCAGACAACGACTTAAAAAAAATTAAGAACAAACTTCCCTTACCCACCACCTTGCTGATTAATGCCCAGTCACTGAGGGGGAAAGCGGATGAGTTGTCAGCGAATCTGCGCTTCCAACACGAATATCGGGAGGCCTGTTTGCTGGCATTTACTGAGACTTGGCTGGATGACAGAGTCCCGGACAGAGAAGTGGAGCCGGCCGGCTTCACCCTGGTCAGAGCGGACCGCGATCTGACAGTCACAGGGAAACTTCACGGCGGGGGCGTCTGCCTGCTTGTCAGCGACCAGTGGTGTAAATCGATCCTGGTAAGAGAGCGACTCTGTACCCCCGACATTGAACTGCTTTCTGTGTCACTGCGACCTTACTATCTGCCCCGTGAGTTCCCCCAATTGTTTGTTACCGTTGTGTACATTCAACCAAAAGCTAATATAACAAAGGCATCAGAGATTATTTATAATCTGTCACAGAAACTGGAATCCATCTCCCCCGACGCACCCAAATTTATTTTAGGGGATTTTAACAACTGTACCTTGCACAAAGTCTTGCGCACATACCATCAGTATGTGAAATGTCACACTAGGAAAAATAGGACTCTTGATTTGTGCTATGGGACAATACCAAAGGCGTTCTCTGCCACCACCAGACCTCCTCTGGGGACATCAGACCACAATGTGGTCTACCTCAGGCCAATTTACTGTCGCCTCCTGGAGAGGGAGAAACCCACAGTTAAAACTGTCCAGATCTGGAATGACAACAGTATCACTTGGGGTGTTTTGACTGTACAATGTGGGAGGTATTTGAGGACAGCAGCTCTGATCTGGATGAACTCACAGAGGTTATTTCAGACTATGTAAACTTCTGTGTTGAGTCAGTTGTGCCTACTAAGACCTGTAAAATCTTCCCTAACAACAAGCCTTGGGTATCAAAACATCTAAAATCACTACTTGATAGGAAGAAGGCAGTTTATGCTGGGGGTGATAGACAGGCTTTAAGAGATGTACAACGTGAGATAAAAAGACAGATACTGGTGGACAAGTTTTGCGGAGTGTTTGAGTTAGCTTTGCGAGGCAAAGATGAAACTGAGGGCTCCACCAACCCTGGTAAGCCAACACTTTTGAGATCAGTCAATAAATGCTTCTGGTATTGACTTATATGCTGCCCCTGTCTTCATGTTGTTGCTGGACATATCTTTTTTAAAATGTGTGTAGGTCACCTAAATCATCAGAAAAATTGCCCCCCCTGAGAATTTTTTCAGGAGCCGCCACTGGTCACTGCACAGCTATTTTCAGGTCTCTCCAGAAATGTTAGATCGGGTTCAAGTCCGGGCTCTGGCTGGGCCACTCAAGGACATTCAGAGACTTGTCCCGAAGCCACTCATGCGTTGTCTTGGCTGTGTGCTTAGGGTCGTTGTCCTGTTGGAAGGTGAACCTTCGCCCCAGTCTGAGGTCCTGAGCGCTCTGGAGCAGGTTTTCATCAATGAATTCTCTGTAGTTTGCTCCGTTCATCTTTCCCTCGATCCTGACTAGTCTCCCAGTCCCTGCCGCTCAAAAACATCCCCACAGCATGATGCTGCCACCACCATGCTTCACTGTAGGGATGGTGCCAGGTTTCATCCAGAAGTGACGCATGGCATTCAGGCCAAATAGTTAAATCTTGGTTTCATCAAACCAGAGAATCTTGTTTCTCATGGTCTTAGAGTCCTTTAGGTGCCTTTTGGTAAACTCCAAGCGACCTGTCATGTGCCTTTTACTGAGGAGTGGCTTCCGTCTGGCCACTCTACCATAAAGGCCTGATTGGTGGAGTGCTGCAGAGATGGTTGTCCTTCTGGAAGGTTCTCCAATCTCCAGAGAGGAACTCTGGAGCTCTGTCAGCTTGACCATCGGGTTCTTGATCACTTCCCTGACCAAGGCCCTTCTCCACCGATTGCTCAGTTTGGCCAGGCGGCCAGCTCTAGAAAGAGTCTTGGTGGTTCCAAACTTCTTCCATTTAAGAATGATGGAGGCCACTGTGTTCTTGGACATTGAATGCTGCAGACAATTTTGCATTTGCAAACATTTCTAAAAACCTGTTTTCGCTTTGTCGTTATGGGGTATTGTGTGTAGATTTAAAAAATATATATATATTGAATCCATTTTAGAATAAGGCTGTAACATAACAAAATGAGGAAAAAGTCAAGGGGTCTGAATATTTTCCGAATGCACTGTATGAAGCACACACACACATTTGCACACACACAGACACGTTACACTAACAGAAATGTAAAATACATACATATGACCAGAGATGGGCAGTATTTCTATTGCATGTATTTGAGATACGTTTTTCAATTACCTTTGAGTACTATGTCATTTGCAAGTCAATATTAGGAAGGTGTTCTTTTCAACAGTCATTCGCATTTTGGTCATTTAGCGTCCAGAGCGACTTAGTCAGTGCATTCTAACTAAAGTAGATAAACAACCACATATTAAAGTCATAGCAAATAAAACGCTTTTGTTACCAAGAATGTTGTTGAGGTTAAGGGGGTACTTGCAAAAGTATTTAGTATTTTATTTTGATACATTGGTCTTTAGGATATTTTTAATTATATTTTGTCATTTTTGCCCATCTCTGTATATGACGTTTGTATTGTAGTTACTGAAAGAAGGTGAAAGAAAAACATTCCACTGATTTTATTTTTCTCTGTGTGTGTGTGTGAGAGCAGGACTCTGAGAAGTATGTGGAGCAGCTCCTCACCCTGTTCAACCGCTTCAGTAAACTGGTGAAGGATGCCTTTCAGGACGACCCTCGCTTCCTCACAGCTAGGGACAAGGTCAGCACAACGTTTGGAAACATTTGTCCAACATTGCCAATAAGCCCAATGTTCCTTCAATGTTGGTCCAACGTTGGTTCAACATTACCAATGACTATAAGCCCTACGTTCCTTCAACGTTTGTTAAACATTGACACAACATTGTCAATGACTATGTGCACAGTATTTGCACTTGATGGTTGTCACTGCATAACCTAACCAATGTTCTTTTTCTCAGGCTTACAAAGCAGTTGTGAACGATGCTACCATTTTTAAATTGGAACTGCCGCTGAAGCAGAAAGGGTAAGAGACGCTCTGTATGCCTTCAATTTCTTCACTGAATTAAAGATGGATTCCTGCACACTGTTAAATGCTCCCACAGTTTTATTGACGTTGCACTTGATAAAACTGCGGGTGGGTGGCCTCCCGAGTGGCGCAGTGGTCTAAGGCACTTCATTGCAGTGCTAGAGGTGTCACTACAGACCTGGGTTCGATCCCGGGCTGTATCACAACCGGCCGTGATCGGGAGTCCGGGTTAGGGGAGGGCGGCGCACAATTGGCCCAGCGTCATCCGAGTTAGGGGAGGGTTTAGCCGTGGGGGCTTTACTTGGCTAGCGACTCCTTGTGGCGGGCTGGGCGCCTGCAGGCTGACCTCGGTCGTCAGGTGAACAGTGTTTCCTCCGACACATTGGTGCGGCTGGCTTCCGGGTTAAGCGGGCGGGTGTTAAGAAGCGCGGTTTGGCGGGTCATGTTTCGGAGGATGCGTGACTCGACCTTCGCCTCCCGAGCCCGTTGGGGAGTTGCAGCGATGACTCAAGATTGATATTGGGGAGAAAAAGGGGTGATCTTTTGTTTTTTCACAACTTAAACGCATTTCTTTATACTACTTCTGAACTGTTAATTGCTTAATTAGTTAATTGTGAACGTGTGTGTTTACGACACTGCTCTACTTCCTCTGTGCTGTCTGTCTGTCAGGGTGGGTCTGAAGACCCAGCCGGAGTCCAAGTGTCCAGAACTGCTGGCCAACTACTGTGACATGCTGCTGAGGAAAACCCCGCTCAGCAAGAAACTCACCTCTGAGGAGATCGAGGCCAAGCTCAAGGAAGTGGTATGTGGATGGGAGGAGTATGTGAGGGTTGGGGGTGTGTGTGTGTAATGATATGGTGATGACTCCAGCAAGCTTTCCATATGGCTACGGCCACACTCCCATGCATTAACACGGATGAAATTCTATATGACGTACATCATTGTCCGAAAGTACATCTCAAGTAAACTGTTTTTCGGACGAGTTTATCCATGAGAAAACTGATTGTTCAAGTGTGTTTTTTGTCGGACAAACATCATCCCTTATCATTCATCCAGCAACAGATGACTCCCATTAAAAAAGCATTGGCTCCATCACACATTTTCGGACACAAAATCAGAGTGTATAGGTGGCCTTATGTTGAGCAGAGCGTCTACCATGTTACTTCCGCCTATCCAATTATTTACAGATCTGCAAACACTTAACCGTTTCTTCTTTGGACAGGACAATCTTAGCTGGGTCGTGTTCATTAGACACCAAACAGAAGAAAATGGACTGAAACAGGGAGGGACTACCTGAACTTGTCCAATAAGAAACACTTGTTTTCATTTTCCGTTGCAAAACATTTAGCTACGGTGTGCAGTAAAAAACACCCTGATTGCACAGTGGTGTTCTATGTGTGTGTGTTCTCCTGCAGTTGCTGGTGTTGAAGTACGTGCAGAACAAAGACGTGTTCATGCGCTACCACAAAGCCCATCTGACCCGACGCCTCATCCTGGACATCTCCGCCGACAGCGAAATCGAGGAGAACATGGTGGAGTGGCTCAGGGTATGACCTGTGTGTGTGAGTGACTTGAGAAGAAAAATGGGAGGAGATGGAAAAGACTGTGTGTGTGTGTGTGCACATCCACCTCACGTAGCCACAATTACACCACTTCTCCAATTACCTCTACCCTTGCTTACAGGAGGTAGGCATGCCTGCAGACTATGTGAATAAGCTGGCCCGGATGTTCCAGGACATCAAGGTGTCTGAGGATCTCAACCAGAACTTCAAAGAGTGTCACAAACACAACAAGCTGGCCCTATCAGGTACACCAGGTAGCTGTATGTACCTAATATAATATATATGATATATGCCATTTAGCAGATACTTTTATCCAAAGCGACTTACAACAGTGAATGCATAAATGTTCGTATTGCTGGCCCTAGCGGGAATCGAACCTGTGTACCTGTACGTTTTGGTGTATAATGCTTGGTGTACTTGGCTGGATGAGACCTAGTGAAAAGTAATACGAATGCTATTGATACAGTCCTTAATGTTTGGGTTTGGGATTTCGCTTTGAGTTTGCACTTTTGGGACTATTCCATTGGCTCCGTTGTACCGTTACCAGAAAAAAGCACAACTCAAGTACTTGAAAGTGTATATTATAGAATTAAATAGAAAACTAGAATGGACTTAGGCATTTTAGCAACTTGCCAAAAAATGAGGGAATCTGTCATTCTAGAAACAAATATATAGTATAAAACAATAAGTAGTTATACTAGTATATTATGCATCTCTATAGTGTATATATTAGACATAATGGATTTGAACTCGGGTGTATTCCTTTCTTCCCCTCTTGTGCAGCGGACTCTGTCAACATCAAGATCCTGAATGCCGGGGCGTGGTCTCGGAGCTCGGAGAAGGTGTTTGTGTCACTGCCCACCGAGCTGGAGGATCTGATCCCAGAGGTGGAGGACTTCTACAAAAAGAACCACAGCGGCAGGAAACTACACTGGCACCACCTCATGTCCAATGGCATTGTGAGTGTAGAGCATGTAGCAGGCAGGCATACAAACACTCACACGTTTATGCATTTATCTACACACCCGCACCCCACACACACTTTCTATTTCATCGCCATTCACCACTAATCTCTCACACCACCCTCCTCTCTGTCCAGACCCTAGAGATCATATAATTCATTCTATGTTCTCTATGTAATTCTATCCAGATCACCTTTAAGAACGAGGTGGGCCAGTACGACCTGGAGGTGACCACCTTCCAGCTGGCCGTGTTGTTTGCCTGGAACCAGAGGCCCCGGGAGAGGATCAGCTTTGAGAACCTCAAGCTGGCCACGGAGCTGCCTGACGCCGAGCTCCGACGCACACTCTGGGTAAGGCACGGTGTCAAAGGATAGATAGAGGTCAAAGGGTTAGTTACCGCAAGAATTAGGGATGCAAGATTCCTATAACATTAACAAAATTACCAGGATTTCCCGAAATTCTAGTTGAAGGAATTCCATATATGTTGCATATTCCTGCCTGATTCCTGCAATCTTCCAACTGGGTTTTCTGGAAAACCTTGGAAAGTTACCAGAATTTGGTTTTCCGCTAACCACAGCGTTTTATTGATTTGATATGCAACAAACACTAAAATGAAAAGGAATCTCCGCACACTCAGGATCAATGCACAATTTAAAATGTACACTATATATACAAAAGTATGTGGACACCCCTTCAAATTAGGGCATTTTGCTATTTCAGCCACACCAGTTGCTGACAAGTGTATAAAATTGAGCACACAGCCATGCAATCTCCATAGACAAATATTGGCAGTAGAATGGCCTTACTGTGAAGAGCTCAGTGACTTGCAACGTGGCACCGTCATAGGATGTCACCTTTCCAACAAGTCAGTTTGTAAAATGTCTGCCCTGCCAGAGCTGCCCCGGTCAACTGTAAATGCTGTTATTGTGAAGTGGGAACGCCTAGGAGCAACAATGGCTCAGCCGCGAAGTGGTAGGCCACACAAGCCCACAGAACGGGACCGCCGAGTGCTGAAGCGCATATCGTCTGTCCTCGGTTGCAACACTCACTACTGAGTTCCAAACTGCCTCTGGAAGCAACGTCAGCACAATAACTGTTTGTCGGGAGCTTCATGAAATGGGTTTCCATGGCCGAGCAGCCGCACACAAGCCTAAGATCACCATGCGCAATGCTAAGCATCGGCTGGAGTGGTGTGAAGCTCGCCGCCATTGGACTATGGAGCAGTGAAAACGTGTTCTCTGGCGTGATGAATCACGCTTCACCATCTGGCAGTCCGACGGACTAATCTTTGTTTGGCGGATGCCAGGAGAACGCTACCTGCCCCAATGCATAGTGCCTACTGTAAAGTTTGGTGGAGGAGGAATAATGGTCTGGGGCTGTTTTTCATGGTTCGAGCTAGGCCCCTTAGTTCTAGTGAAGGGAAATCTTAATGCTACAGCATACAATTACATTCTAGACGATTCTGGGCTTCCAACTTTGGCAACAGTTTGGGGAAGGCCCTTTCCTGTTTCAGCAGGACAATGCCCCCGTGCACAAAGTGAGGTCCATACAGAAATGGTTTGTCGAGATCGGTGTGGAAGAACTTGACTGGCCTGCACAGAGCCCTGATCTCAACCCCATCGAACACCTTTGGGATGAATTGGAACGCCGACTGCGAGCCAGGCCTAATCGTCCAACATCAGTGCCCGACCTCACTAATACTCTTGTGGCTGAATGGAAGCAAGTCCCAGCAGAAATGTTCGAACATCTAGTGGAAAGCCTTCCCAGAAGAGTGGAGGCTGTTCTAGCAGCAAAGGGGAGACCAACTCCCTATTATTGCCCATGATTTTGGAATGAGATGTTCGACGAGCAGGTGTCCACATACTTTTGGTCATGTAGTGTATTGAGCTTTCGGTCGTCAGACCATCAGCGCAGAAATAAACACAATGACAGAGGCCACATATAGGCAACGTGCGTCAATGCAATCAGACATGATGAGCAACACCTGTGTACAAAAACAAACGCCAGGAGGCACATCAGTAATCAATTATCTCAGAAAAAGTGACTTCATCGAGACAGTTGTTTTAGCATATTTTTTACATTCTTTTTTATTATTATTATTTTTTTTTTATATAAATGTTGACATAATGCATAAACACTTAAAAAAGAAGCAGGTGTTAAGACCAGGAGAAGCCTCAAACAAAACATATTAAAGCATGACCCTCATGTCTAAATCATCATTAAGGGCTGATGGAGGTAAAGTGCCAAGTGTATAAATCCAAAAGAGTTCCTTTTGGCACAGCTTTTTCTCAGTGTTCCCTCCTCTGGGTGAAGGTTCAACTTTTTCAATAGGCTGAAAACGTAAAGAGACTGTGAACATGTATTAAAGTGGCAGGCAACAGGGTGCTTTTCATCATTATGCCTTATTTATTTGATTAGATTTTTTATTTTACCTTTATTTAACTAGGCAAGTCAGTTAAGAACAAATTCTTATTTACAATGACGGCCTACACCGGCCAAACCCGGACGACGGGTTATGCAAACTAATTCTTTGCTTAAGGCACCTAGAGGTTTTCCCATATGCAACAAACACACCCTAAAGCCCCCCTGCCGATTCTATATGACCATAACGATTAGTACTTTTTTAAAACGTTTTTGATCGACTGTTAACTGTTGTCTCAACCTCTTAACCTATAAATCCTCCTCACCTCTCTTTTTTTCCTGTTTCTCTTGCTTGCGCTTTTCTCTCTTTTCTTCTCTCTTCTTTCTCCCCTTTTCTTCTCTCCCTCTCTCCTTTTCCTCCAGTCCCTGGTAGCGTTCCCCAAGCTAAAGCGGCAGGTGTTGTCCTACGACCCCGTGGTGGGCTCGCCCAAAGACTTTACAGAGGGCACACTTTTCTACGTCAACCAGGAGTTCTCACTAATGTAAGTGTTCTGTAATGTAAGTGTTCTGTAATGTAAGTGTTCTGTAATGTAAGTGTTCTGTAATCTGTGTGTGACTGGCTGGGGTTTGCAACCAGGCTTTCCACTGCCACGCCACGGAGTTAACTCTCTGGGCTGGCTTTATTTATCTTACAGGTTGAATTTGAAGTTGGAGGTTGTAATGTATCTTGTACGTGGCACAAAAATGACGCACTAGTACCACATCTAAATAGTGTGTGTGTTTGTGTGTCCAGAAAAAACTCCAAGGTCCAAAAGAGGGGGAAGATCAACCTGATTGGCCGGCTTCAGCTCACCACAGAGCGAATGAGGGAGGAGGAGAACGAGGGAATTGTCCAGCTCAGGATATTGAGAACACAGGTACTGTACTATATAAGGGCTTCCCATTGACAGGTCATCATTGCAAATAAGAATTTTGGGATTTCTCACGTCCTCCCTCCTCGTCTCTTTATCAAAGCACATTGGGGCAGAAGATCTGAGGTTTCGCCCCTTACTCTTCTCCTCCAATGCATTTAGAGGTGGCAAGGAGGGTGAAATACAATTGAGTCACCCTCTCTCTCTCTTATCCTTGTCACTCCCTTTCCAGGAGGCCATCATCCAGATCATGAAGATGAGGAAGAGGATCACCAATGCCCAGCTGCAGACGGAGCTGGTTGAGATCCTCAAAAACATGTTCCTGCCCCAGAAGAAGATGATCAAGGAGCAGATGGAGTGGCTCATCGAGCACAAGTACATCAAGCGCGACGAGACTGATCTCAACACCTTCCTCTACATGGCGTAGCAATGTTGACGACGTTTAACAGTGGTGACGACGTGTAACGGTGGTGACTTTGGGAGTTCTTCATCAGGCCTGATGGACAATAGAATGTCTTCGGAGAAAGAAAAAAAATTGGTTCATGGGGGTTCAAGCCTGATGGACAATAGAATATTTCCAGGCTGACCTCCCTTTGATAAACAAATGATCTGTTGCGTGGGGAAATGCAGACTTGATTTATGACAGTGTTACAGAAATGTATAAAAGGAGGAGTTTGTGTGGGGAAATTAAAGGGTAAGAAAGAAAAGGGGTTTGAGCTTCTCAGCGGGAGTCAACCCCCACCGAGTTTTCAGTTGTCGTTTTTGGCTAGAAGGCGTTTCCTCGTCTGTAGACGGGACATGGTTGGTGGTTGTGAAAGGTCTCTGTTGCTAGGCGTCCTCCTCCCTGTCGACCAATCACCACGCAGACCACACCCCCTCTCCCACCCTGTCCATGAACACCCCACCACCATTGGAGTGACAACGACATGGCAAGAAAAAGGAAGAGCGTTAGAAGAAGCTCAGTTTCCCTCCATATCTACAGTCCAAGTTTTGAGCCAGGCCAACACTATTCTCCGGACCTCTTCAACAGAACAAGCTGTGTCCCCAGGCAGCTGTCTGAGCCAAGCTGTCGGCCATGTTTTTTGTGGCCACTGGTGGTGACAAACGAAGAACTAAAGACAATGACTCTCTCTGCTGTCACATATGTGTGACGCCGTTCTTGGACATTCATGGCTGGTTTCCCGGACCCAGACTAAGACTAGTCCTGGATTTTTTAAATCATTCTCAATGGAGTATCTCCATTGAAAGTGCACTTTAGTCCAGAACGAGGCTTAACTTGGGTCGAGGAAACCTTCTCAACAGTATGTTATATTTCAGAAACTGTTTTCACAAAAGAGACGGACTGTGGACTATTAGTTCCCAGTTCCAAATCGACCCCAAGCATCCTACCCCTGGGCACTTGTCTTGCATATTTTGACAGGATCTGATAAGTGGACACGATAGGCTTGATGGAGCTCTTTTCCTATCAGAAGACAAGGTGGAGTAATCACCATATTGGTGGTCGCTCATATTCAATCTCTTCAGATCTACAGGAAGGGTTTAAGCATAGGTGTTAGGGGTCGGTTTAGAATTGGGCCAATGTCTCACTTTCCGTATCTTTACCCCTCATCTCTGCAGGCTGCCTGAGCTAAGCCCCTGGGGGAAGAGGGGTCGGGGTGTATTATTATATCGTAAAAACTAGCTCTGGTCCAGAGCATTTAAGTACGGCTTGCTGATGCTGAACTTGCTCGGCATTAGCAAGTCACACGTAAACACCCTGGGCCAGAGCTAGGTAATAGCCAGAACCATATATAAAGATGTGTGTATATATATAACCGTATATCTCTATACATGGCTCTGATGGTAACTACTACAATACAGATCTAAAGGAGTGAAGATGTTAATAATGAGATGAGGAAATAAACAGCACCTTATTATAAAACGTTGTATGAACTTTGTCATTCAACCCTGGGCTACTTCACAAGCAGGATAAACCTTCAGATAACTGTTCATTTTCTGGCATATGCCAATCGCTGTCCATTGTTGCTGTGTGGCACTGACCTTCATAATTCTGATTCCACAGCTGTCCACTTGAGTGGTGCTGAATCTCTGATTTGCGGCGGTTACAGCTGGTTTGTAAAGAAAGCTGATGTTGAGTACTAGCACGGCAGGGTGGGTGAGAGAATCAAGTAAATTGTGCCATGCTCATTTCAAGTTTTTCTATATTTAGGCATTTGGCAAATGGAGTCCTTTGAAAAGATTGAGGAAAGTTATGGGTAACTCATTTACCATGCTTTTGTGAACTGAAATACCCCCCTACTGCAGGTTCAAATCCTATGTGTGTGCAACATGGTGTACCCTAAACCTGGACAAGAATCCTACAGGTAACATGACTATATATGGTCGGAGATACGTCCTAATAATCACTTTCCTTCTGAAGTGTGCACTAATTCACTACTCCCCACACATTTAAAAGCATTTGATTGGCTCTAGAGGGAGTTTCCATAGACCAGTAATGTCCTTTCAAATCCATGACGGGAAGTGAACAAGTGCACACTTCGGGAGAAAGGAGCGCTAATTGGGACGCCACCGTAGCCCCTCGCTCCATTGGTTTATTCCAGTCTATTTCTTCTTATTCATCATTCGTATCTGTTGCACATCGTAGTCACGCGTGTGGGACAGAGTGCAACCAACAATTTTCAATTCAGGGATTTGATTTCTTACCAATTCTCATCCATTGCATATATCCGACATGACCAATACCCTATTGAAGACATTTCCCACATAATGTTTTCAGACTGAGGCCACCTCGTAGGAAAATAAGCCTGCATAATAAGATTTGCACTTGGATGTTGGGTTCAAAGGATCTCAGCTTTGTTTCCCACGGCGAAATTGCATACTCATCGCACGGGAAATAATGTACAGTAGCGTATTTAAGTGTGTGTGGGGGAGACACCGACGCCGCGCATGCTCAGTCCGCAGCTCAGCCTCCTGCTCCTCGTAGGCTCCTCCCTGGCGTGCGCGTGAGGAGAGAGGAGACTGTGAACCGCAAGCGGTTCAGAGGGGGGGTGCGTCGCACAGGCAGGACCGAGGAGGAATCACAACAGCCCCGGCCGGGACTGCCAGACCCGACTCGCTGGATCCCCGGAGGAACGGAGAGAACACGTCGCCCAAGGGAGAGGAGCTCTGTTCAGGTAACAGTGGAAAACAACACAGCCTCAATCGCATTAGGGACCTCAGGTGCCGCTGTTGTAATCCGCGCAATACGCGTTGATGGCTGTGTGGAAAAGTGGGGATGGGGAGACAGCGACTGTGGTTTGAAGGAAAATACAGTAGGCTAAGCATGCGAGCTGCTGTCGCGGCTTGTGTTGTCCTCAAAGCACGGGAGATAAGCGAGACATGATCCCAATTATGCCTCGCTGTTCCACATTCCGTGCACGAAGCGTTCAGCTCGAGGGGGTGATTTGACCGGTCGCGTGCTGTGGGCTTCCGCGCGCGATGTGGTTACCAGCCAGGGTTTGCTCTGTCCACAATAGGCGACAGAATAACAACATATTATCCCACCAGAGAATAGCCTACCACTGTAGTTGAAGTAGCCTACTGCAACCGTGATTTCTAGCTACAATTAGCTATTGCTGCTATAAAACCCTATTTTCTTATTTATGCCATCCAGCAGGGCTCGCGGCGGAGTGGGCTTATTTGATAATCGAGTTATTTCAGAAGAATGCATTGCTAGTTTGCTCCTCCTGAGATGCGCTGAGCAAGTTGGGAATTGTCGGGTTTTGAGACCAACACCCACGCGCATCCCGTCGTCTCCCATAGCTACCAGAAGCAGCTGCTCCCAAATAATAAACTTATTGTTATCATTTTAACGGTCTACACCTAAAATCTTTAACCTGAACAGTTACATACATACTTGAGTAAATGCCCTACTGTTATAGGCATATTTATATCAATGTCCAGATAGATCTAGTGCAGAACACCAACAGTCCATTGAAGAGTAAGACATATCTACTATAGGCCTGACTGCCTTAAATTGTCAAATGCTAGCCATTTGTCAAACCATATGTTATCTGACAGATGTTGAATAACATACAACTCTTGTTGCTGATTCTTAAATGTAGGTCTATGTGAAACCATATACTGGATGATAATTCTCTAAGTAGCCGATCTTTCCAATAATGCACTCTTTTACTGATGAATCATAGGCAAGCCTTTTAGTTATAGCCAATTATGATGCCTTAGTTACAAGGTAAGCCTATGGCTGGTGGTTTAGGAGTGACTGTTGAGGATGATGAAACAGAATGTTCAGATATAAATGTATTGTGTAGAGCAGAAATTATTGTCTTTCAGATAGAAATGGGGAACCATGTCGGCTCGATTCATTCTTTTACTATCTGCAACCTTCAGAACATTTAACATCACTGAATACACCCCTGGTGTCAGATGCATGGATTGGCCAGCTACTGGCTGGCTAAAGGATACTGCAGAGAGGAAGAATGGATTGCATGATGCTGCTGGCTGGGATAGCCCTCCTCATAACACATTCAGGGAGAGGGAGGGGGCGAGGGGGAAGGCCCTGCCTGCCTGTGGTGCACCCCTCCATCAGCCAACCAGTGCAGATATCCTCTCTTTCAGTTTTTTTTTTATTTCTCTCTGCACTACCACACAGTCAGAGAGATGAAGTGAGGGGAATCGCTCTGTCTTTCTTTCGCTACCACACCAACAAAGAAAGAGGAGGATCTGTCTCTCTCTCTCTCTCCTTTTTGTCTTTCTCTGCCCTACCACACCAACAAAGAAAGAGGAGGATCTATCTCTCTCTCTTCTTATTGTCCTTCTATGCACTACCACATCACCAGACAGATGGAAAGAGAGATGTCCCTCTTTCTATCTCTCTGTACATTACTACACCACCAAAGAGAAAAAGGGGATCTCCGCTCCCATTTCTCTCTCTCTATGTCCCACCCCTCTGTCTCTGTGTGTGTGTGCGTATTACTGTTCCTCCAGATCCATTGGTGTAATCAGTCTGTCATCAAAGCAAACTCAATCAGTCCTCATCCCCCAGACAATCACTCTCTCCTTGTCCTATCAGTATGTGTCCCAAATGGCACCCTATTATGTAGGGAATAGGGTGCCATTTGGGACACAGATCTGCTGCAGCTAGACGTCTCAATTGCGTTAGGATATTATTTGATGTTCTAGTAGTTACTGATTTTGTATTTACATTTTAGTAATTTAGCAGACGCTCTTATCCAGAGCGACTTACAGTTAGTGAGTGCATACATTTTCGTACTAGCCCCCCGTGGGGAACGAACCCACAACCCTGGCGTTGCAAGCGCCATGCTCTACCAACTGAGCTACAGGGGACTAAATAAGTTTATTGTAAAATCCAGATTTCCAAACTGACATGGAAATGTATTGTATGTCAGTTTATAGTCAGCATTTAAT